AGGGAGCCCGATGCGGGGCTCGATCCCAGGACCCCGGGATCATGACCTGAGCCGAAGGCAGACACTTAACGACTGAGCCACCCAGGCGCCCCTAACCAAATAGTTCTTATGAATTTTTAAAACAACCATATAGTGTTTCATTTTTATAATTAAAGTGCTTGATGGAGACAATTTTATTGGCCTTGAGGTGACTGTGTATTGCCTGCCTGTTATTTGTTAATCCAGATTGCAAGCTTCTTATGTCTTTAGGATCTCCTTTTTATGATCCAATTTAAACATTATGTTGTAGTGTTAACATACGCAGATTAAAAAAAAAAAGATGCACACACGTATATATATTTAATAATATAGTTTACTCTCTGCCTCCTTGCGGTTGGTACCAGCGCTACGATCTGTGCCAGGGATTGGCCTTCATCCTTTCTCCCTGTGCTTTCTGCAGCTTTCTCCTGCTAACAAGCTTTATTCCCTGCCTTCCTGGGACCCACTCCAGAACTAAACCATCCTCTGTGTATTGAAACCCAGTCATACCAACCTCTAGCCATGACTGCCCTTTATGCCACAAGAAACATTAGAAGCTATGTTCTGTACCAACTGAGTTAGCTCAGTTGACTTGTTGTAAGGTTCATATCTTTGTTTTCCCGTTGTGATAAAACGTACATTATTTAAATTTTATCTTTGTTATATCCATTATCTACCATCTCTAAGAAATTGCAAACTGGAACTTAGGAAATTTTAAGCAAGGTTTGGAAAAAAATCCATCTTTCTTCGTATACAGTATATTTGTTTTGGGTTGAAAGCCGTAGAGACTCCTGTAATCATTTTGATGAATATCAGAGACTCGACTCTTGACTCTTCCAGCTTTTCCCAATAAAGTCCCTGTTTTAGTTTTCCTTTTTCTTTTCTCCTTGTAGTGGACATTTGGGAGCAATAAAAATAAGAAGAAAGGCAAGGCCAGAAAAATAGAGAAGAAAGGAACCATGAAGAAACAAGCCAACAAAACTGCTTCCTCAGGCAGTTCAGATAAAGACAGTTCTGCTGAGAGCTCAGCCCCTGAGGAAGGTGAGCCTGCATTAGAGTCTCAACTCACTTTACCCTGAGTGTATTCTCTTTCCTTTTTCTTGGTTACACATGCATGGTCTGGCTGAGGAGGAAAATCCTTGAACCAGATACAAAACTCAGTGAAAAAATGTTCTTATTTTGAAACCAGTTCCAGAACTTTTGCTGACACTGGAATGAAAGTGAACTGGTTCCGAGACTAGAATGATACACCTTACATTTCTTTTAAGAAATAACATTTATGTGCAAACTGGCCTGTATAGAATTGGCCAAACCTGGTTTTAAGCACATTGCCTGTGAATGTTAGGTCAAATTTAAGCACATTGCCTGTGAATGTTAGGTCAAATTGAGTTAAGTAAATTCTTATTAAATTGCTAGTTTAACTTAATACTCATTTTTTCCATCACCCTTTATCCTATCATGATCCAGTTCCATTGAGAATTCACCAGTGTAATGACTCATTAAAACATTGAATATTTTAAATGCCAACTAATAAATATAGAAGAAATTATTGAAAATCACCATTTTTCAACCTTCATGGTGATAACTGATTTACTTAAGAATTATGAGTCTTAGGAGCACCTGGGTGGCTCAGTCAGTTGAACATCTGACTCTTGATCTCAGCTCAGGTCTTGATCTCAGAGTCACGAATTTAGGCCCTGTATTGGGCATAGAGCTTACTTCAATAAAAGGGGGGGGGTGGCAATGATTATCAACACTGTGGGGTCATCTCTATGGCCTCAGTCTTCTGTAGCATAGGCTAATCTTGTGTTTGGGCCCTGTTGTAGGTGAGGTGTCAGATTCTGACAGCAACAGCTCCTCCTCCAGTTCAGATTCAGACTCTTCCTCAGAAGATGAAGAGTTCCATGATGGCTATGGAGAAGACCTCATGGGCGATGAGGAAGACCGGGCCCGTCTGGAGCAGATGACAGAGAAGGAGAGAGAACAAGAACTGTTCAACCGCATAGAGAAGAGGGAGGTGTTGAAAAAAAGGTAAGGTTGTAATTCCTTAATAATAAAACTCATATTTGGAGCCCTGTCTTCCCAGAATTCAGGACTTAGAACTTCTCATAATCTCTGAGATAAGTATCTGACTATCCTTCCAGCATAGTTTTTGTATTTTTTTTTTTTTTGAAAACTCAAATGTTAAATTGCCTTTTGATAGTCAAAAGCTGCTTCAGTATTTTTTTTTCCTTTTTTTTTTTTAAGGTTTTATTTATTTGTTTGACAGAGCACAGGCAGGGGGAGCGGCAGGTAGAGGGAGAGGGACAAGTAGACTCCACACTGAGCAAGGAGCCCGATGTAGGGCTTGATCCCAGGACCCTGGGATCATGAGTTCTTCCTTATCTCATAACATAATTTCACAGTAAAAATAAACGTGTTTGTTGTCTCTAGAAATAAAATAGTCCTCAGAACTAGGAGCCTTTTCTACCTAACTAATAACATGAAAGAAAAATAGAATTTTCTCTGACCACAGTTAGTTCCATTTCATTTGGAAATCTGTCCCTTTTGGAGACCATATTAAGTATAGTTAGTTATCCTGAACAAGAATGTCTGACTTTCAGTCAGCAGCAAGTAATAGACATTTGTTTTGATTATAAATGCTTTCAAGGTTACCTATGTTGGAACAAACAGGACTGAAGAAACTGTGCTGGAGTTGCCAGATAGTTAAGGATGGCTTAAAATTGGTATTTCTGAACAGTGGCGAGCTTAACGAGATTCTTTTTTTTTTTAAAGATTGTATTTTATTTGACAGAGAGAGACACAGCGAGAGAGGGAATGCAAGCAGGGGGAGTGGGAGAGGGAGAAGCAGGCTTCCTGCCGAGCAGGGAGCCCGATGTGGGGCTCGATCCCAGGACCCTGGGATCCTGACCTGAGCCGAAGGCAGACGCTCAATGATTGAGCCACCCAGGCGCCCCACGAGATCCTTATATAAGGCCAATAGGGCCCCGTGATAAAATCACAGAGTAGGGAATCCTGGGTGGCTCAGTCGTTAAGTGTCTGCCTTCGGCTCAGGTCATGATCCCAGGGTCCTGGGATCGAGCCCCACATCGGGCTCCCTGCTCATGGGGAGTCTGCTTCTCCCTCTCCTACCCACTCGTGCTCTCTCTTGCTATCTCTCTCTCTCTCAAATAAATAAAAATCTTTTTTAAAAAAGAAGATTTTATTTATTTATTAGTGTGAGCGGGAGGGAGAGAGAATTTGAAGCAGACTCTGCGCTCAGCCCAGAGCCCAACATGGGGCTCTGTCCCACAGCTGTGAGATCCTGACCTGAGTGGAAACCAAGTGTCAGACTTTCAACTGACTGCACCACCCAAGCGCCCTGATTCCTTTTCTATAGCTGCATAATAGTCTGTTTAGGTGGATGTACTAGAGGTGATTCAGCCACTCCCCTGTGCAGACATTTGGGTTGTTTTCAGTCTTCTCCTAATTCAAATAGTACTTTAAATTGAAAATAAAGTTTTTCTCCAAGACCCTCTGAAGACATCACAAAATTTTCCCCCATCTTTCTTACCCATCTTCAGGCATCTTGAGTGTAATAAAGACAACTGTCAGTAGAGTTGGTGACCCTTTCTGCCCACTTAGCAATAAGCTTACAGCCCTTTTTTGTCTATTAAAGCTTGACATTTGGTGCCTGAATGTTTTTACTCTGGTTTAACTCGCTTCTGTGTGTAGCCCAAGTGATTACCGTGCAATCTAGGAAGGATGGGGCTGTCTCTTGAGTCCCTTCCCATGTCCAGGTTCTTTTTCAAGGATGAAAGATGTTTCAGTTTCTTATTGAGAGAATGTGGATAAACATTTCCCCTTTCTTTTTAGCTGAGCTCCTTGCTAAAAAACAGCCATTGAAAACCAGTGAGGTGTACTCTGATGATGAGGAAGAGGAAGAGGATGACAAGTCCAGTGAAAAATCAGACCGCTCATCCCGAACATCATCATCTGATGAAGAAGAGGAGTAAGCTTGTGTATATTTTGGTCTAGTAGTCAGGATAGGTGGGTTCTTTGGGGAGAAACTTAGTGTAGTTTCCAAAATGTTCTTGTTTGGATGGTGAACTTTGATCTGGTTCAGTACCCTGAATTGCAGAGCTGAGTTCCCCCACACATCAGCCCAAAAATATGCTCCTGCCTTTGGCAATCTAGCCTGCACCCCTCGACATTTCATCTGGGCCTGGCAGGTAAGAACTGACTTCATGTCACCTCAGACTGGTCTGGATCTTCCATTACTTTTCTTACTCTGATAAGTTATCTGGAATGACAGCCTCATTGAAGACAGTTTATACAGGAGCAGGATTCTCTTACCACTCTTTGCTGTGGCTTCATTTATTTCTCTTATGGTTAATCACATGTACTTTGGTTAAGTGTTAAGAAGTTGGTAGTATTTATGTATCTTGATCTGATTTGTTGTTGTTGTTGTTTTGTTTGTTTGTGGGGTTTTTGGTTTTGTTTTTCCAGAGAGAGAGAGAGCACATGCCAGAGGCTGGGGGGCGGGGGAGGGGCAGAGGGAGGGAGAGAAAATGTTAAGCAGGCTCCACGCCCAGTGTGGAGCCCAACACGGGGCTGGATATCGCAACCCTGAGATCATGACCTGAACCGAAATCAAGAGTCAGGGATACTTAACCGACTGAGCCACCCAGGCACCTCTTGATCTGTTTTTATGAGGAACACTTTTTCCATTGCCCTTTATTCCTCACAGGAAAGAAGAGATCCCTCCCAAATCACAACCAGTCTCCTTACCCGAGGAATTGAATCGGGTTCGATTATCACGGCATAAGCTAGAGCGTTGGTGTCACATGCCCTTCTTTGCTAAAACGGTCACAGGATGTTTTGTACGGATTGGCATTGGAAACCACAACAGCAAACCAGTTTACCGGGTTGGTGTTTCTTTCCATGGACAATTGTCCATGTTTTAAATATAATGATTCTTGACTGGGAGTAGGAGCTGCTGAACAAGTCTGTCACTTTTCTGCTACCATTTGATGGGAAAATAGACTCTAATTGAGATGCCTGTAGAATAATGACGATCTGAGGTAACCAGAGATCATGCATGACCTGCTGCCAGAAAGAGTCTTCAGAGTCCAATGGAGGGGGTTTGAATTTAGACTAACTCTCTTTATTTTCCCTTCATATAAAAGCAAGAAGAGAGACATTTAGGGAGTATTCATTGGGAGTTACATAATCTGGAAGCTTTGTTCATTTGAAAAATAAATAAATGAAAATTTTCCATGTTACATGGAAACAGAATTATACTGAGGTTTAAAAACAAACACAAAAACACAAAAAACCACCCTCCAACCTAATTGAGGTTGTTTTGTGAGTTCTGGCACTGCTTCTATGATCTGGATGGCTGGAACATAGCTGTTTGATTTTTTTCTTTTTTTCTTTTTGTTTGTTTTAGCCTGGGTTGTATGGTTTTAATATGTGTTTACCTCCTTCTGTGAGGACCAGCAGCCATGCCAAGTCCCAGAAAGCTTGACAAACAGAAACTGACTTCCATAGTCTTCATATTTGGTTGATAAAAGTGACCTCTGGGATCCCAAGTACATCCCCCTTAGTAAGGTAGAATTAAGTCGGAGGGGAAGCTCCTAATGGTCCCCACCAGGCTAACTGCTTCCTCTCCTGGCGCTTGCTCACTCTGTTTTCGGGGCTTCTGGTGCTTGGCCATCTGGGTTCTGAACCTGAGGAAGGTGCCCAGAGCCCCGGGCAGCTGTGGGGTCCTCTCAGTGCAGGGCCACTCGTCCGCAGTTAGGTTGGTAGAGCCAAAGAGGGAGTGGTGTGGAGAGCTCTGAAAGAGTCTGTTTTTAACTGGCATCTCTGTCCTTTCACTTAGGTGGCTGAGATCACGGGTGTTGTGGAAACCGCTAAAGTTTACCAGCTTGGTGGCACCAGGACAAACAAAGGGCTACAGCTACGGTAAGGGAGGCGCTGCTGTGGGCTTCTGCTCCTGCTGCACACGGGCACCGCCTGGTGGGGCGTCCTCGCCCAGTGTGATGGTTCCTTTTTTTTCTTTTTTTTAAGATTTTATTTATTTATTTGACAGAGA